ACCGTTATAGAAAATATTGTTTTTTTAATATAACAGTAAGATATGCAGCACACCCTTCTGAATATCATTAGAGAAACATATTTAAACACCATCTGGCCCAGATAGTTTCAAAACCTCAAGTTTTAGTATAAGTTTGTGTACTACAAACGATCTCTATTCAAGATTAAAAAAAACGGTAGTGTAAGAAAGTATTTAACAGTTAAAAAGCAATTTAAGAAAGTTCAAAACAGTTTTAATTCAAGGTCTTCGAGAACACTCTAAGTTTGAGTCGACTTTACAGTTTTACGCTCAGAACACCCTTCGACGCTTTCACTGTGTCATAAGAGCACACAGCCCCATGAGAAGCTTACGCTGCAGCGAACTCTTTTTCATTTGGTTTACGAAACTGCAAAATGCTGGTGTATGAGAATACGGCTGCGATCGACAAAAGAGCAGTGTCTGTGCAGTAATATGTTACGTAGGTCGCATATCAGCGATCAGATGACGGCAACGAAGTGGGTAGGGTTATCCGCTGTGCCTGCTGTCTTCCATTTTAGACGATGCTATACGCATCAGCATAAATATAGCTTCTAAATAGTCACGCCTCCTGTCATTTTTACGTAACAATATCATAGCGCGTAGACAGGTATATGAGCCGTTCGCTGATTCCAGCAGAAATAGCGTGCGCTAGCACTCTTGACCGTGCCCTTATAATCAAAGTTATTGTTTGTGGATTGAGCGACGCAGTATGAGTATCTCGTCATACTCCTTCGCCCAGCTAAAGACTGCCAAGGCTTCCTTTTCGGTTGAGGAGCAATCGACGGCAGGCATCGAACGTTGAGGGCTGTCACTAAGTTTAAAGTTTTACGGAATCCCTCTGGTCGAGATGATACATGGTTGAAGGTAAAAAAAAACCTGAAGGCACTGTGCCAACCAAAATAAAAAGCTTAAAAAAACAGAAAAAGACGTTCTGGCTCCCATACGCAAGCCTTGTTCACAAGTGAAATAAAAACGTTTGTAAAGGAGTTCACTTCATGTATGTTTTAATATATCACGCAGGCAGCGCGCACATACTGACGACAAATTACCATTTTTCCCGTTTAAAGTGCCCGGATTGGTTTGTATCACGAGTGACTTGAAGACGCTATGACAGTCCTTTTTCTCTAGCGAGAACACGTGCTTTCTCCTAGTCGATTGTGTGACCACCTGACGCATGCTCAGCCAAGGCACAGGGTTAAACATTTTCTTTTTTCACGTCATAAATGCGCAGCTTGAGGCGCCGTTCAAAGTCACCCCTTTCACCGATATACACATCGTCACAATCCGCACACGGGACAGCGTACACCACACCAGGGAACTTCACTTTGGCTTATCTGTCCTTCACATTTACGAGCGATTGTCCGAGTTTGTGGTCCGGAACATGCTGTTATCGCATGCACCCTCCGTGCGATGAAGATGGACAGCTTGTTTCATCTATGCTTCAGCAGTGTACCTCGCTAGCGCTCTTGAGATTTTATCCTCTGGAACATCATACAGTGCGCGTAAGAAATTCATTGATTTCAACTTTACACGTAAAATGGCAGGGACGATGAAAACCTGTAAAAAGTGTCCATATAATTTTTTCTCGCAATGAACAAATATAAAGAAACAGTCGAAGCGGGCTAGCCTTTCTATGGCGAGCTGCGTCGTCTTCGCTGTAAACAATTGATTGATTGATTGATTGATTGATTGATATGTGGGGTTTAACGTCCCAAAATCACCCTATGATTATGAGAGACGCATGCCGTAGTGGAGGGCTCCGGAAATTTCGTGCACCTGGGGTTCTTTAACGTACACCCAAATCTGAGCACACGGGCCTACAACCTTTCCGCCTCCATCAGAATTGAATGAATTTCCCGACAGCCGCCGCAGCCGGGATTTGATCCCGCGAGCTGTGAACAATTCAGTCCGTTTGGTAGAATAAAATAATCCGGAGCCGCTTCCTTTGGTTTGGTCCTCCATTACACTCAACTACAGTCCCTTCGCTGCAATTCCTACAGGCTGTATCTCTTCAATATTTGTGTCCATAAAGTACGTGTGTGACATGTGGGCGCACAGCGCTGAATTTATAAGGATTTTCAGCTTGTGGGCTGCACACTCTGTTATTTCAACTTGTGCAATCTCACTCACAAAATGCAGGGAAATGACAAGTTCATCACACGTTACAATCATGCAAGACGCGAGGAAAAACTAGGGGAGGGGGGGGCAAATGCATGGACAAGCAGGGTAGAAAGCAATTTACAACGGATAATTCTCGAATATGAACCATTCAAGACTATGTGCCCTAATCATGTCACGTGAATCAACGTTCTGGTGTCACGAAGAGCTTCACAAGAACAAGTAACGCCAAGTCAGAATAACACGATCGACTGTGTATCTTCAGAAGCTGTTTTAGGGCCCTTATATAGATAGGGTGTGCAAACACGGACACATGAGAGCAGTCAAGACACCGCAAACGCAGCTCTGAAAAATCTGAAAGCTTCTGAAAAGAAGGTGAAGTGATGTATTTTATGCCCAGATTCACCCCTCCAGTGAAATGAGACAAACGGCGGCGGGCCGCAACTTTTGGAGAGGCGGCGGTGGCATGGTCTCTCTCGGAACTTCGGCGGCGGCGCGAATGGCGTAAGCAAAAACGGGTGGCGGCGGCGGCAGCGCACGTGCAGCTCTACACTGGCGTCGCTGCGGTCGCGGTGATGTGACGGCAAGAACTCGCCTTCTCCGCCGCCACTTGTCTCCTTTTTCTGTGCCCACTGCGTCACCGCTCCTAAGCGATACGTTGGTTATTACTCATCAATTGCGTTACGCAAAGTACTCAAGAAACAAAGTGAAAGGTTTCATAACTATTGAAAGTTATGGAGGCTGTAAAAAGTTTGCATAGACTACTTTAGAATATGCAGACTCTTGTCGGAACGGCAGATTTACTTTGAACATTGTTGTTTTCGTTGCGTACCCCAAGAAATGGGTGATATAGGAAAATATGCCAAGTGGTGCTAACGTGATTACAACTATAGACAGACTCCGGGATGGGAACATATGTGTGCTGAAGTATAAAAAATGAAATTAGGATGTCTCTAATTCCTTAAATGCATTCCGCTTTAACGTGAAAGTTGTGCCTGCATCTGCGAATAATCTGAATGATTTAAAAGAGTTGAGCTTTCTATAACGGGAGACTCTACATGAATGTGACTGTAATGAGAACAAACTTCACATATTCGGAAAATAAACGAAATTGTACGGTCACACAAAACGATTTTGGAAAATTTTGGATATGTCCGTTTATTCGGATATACGTGTAACTTCGGCGGCTGCATTTCCGATGGAGGCGGAAATGTTGTAGGCCCGTGTACTCAGATTTGGGTGCACGTTAAAGAACCCCAGGTGGTCAAAATTTCCGGAGCCCTCCACTACGGCGTCTCTCATATTCAAATGGTGGTTTTGGGACGTTAAACCCCACAAATCAATCAATCAATACATGTATCTTCTCAACAGTCGCTAGAGATTGTGTAGTTGTTTATACCCTGATTTGCGTGAAATGCTGGGGTGATCTACCGCCGCGTCACAAGCAGTAATGTTCACTTCGTATGGGAGCGCCGCTCATAGCAACGATTCCAACACAACACCAGGATGTCGCAATGAACATTTTCGATGGCGCAGTAAGCGAAGTGGCTCAAGAAATATTTTAACAACCTTCGTATCAATTAGGTGACGACTAGTCTCATAAGTCATGTACACGTACAGGTAATCAGCTGCAAAGAAAATTAATTTATGAGGTGGCTATCTGAACTGGTAGTTACGAGTGCGACATCACCGTTGCCACTATTCTGCTCGAAGATACAATCTGGCAGTATTGAGAATTTCCGCAAGCAACCTCAAACGCACTTAACCTCAATAATTTCGGTAAAAGGAAGCTCCAAAATTATTGCGTGCGAAATACTAATCTGAACAACGTGTTGAGTGAACAAGTACATCAGAAAAACATACACAGCAGTGGTGGTGGTGTCTTAAGGTGAGCACATACGATATATTTTGCGAGACTCGATAGTGTAAGCGAGCGTGGGTCTAAGCACACCAGCGAAAGCAGGGTCCGTAGATATGTGCATTCCTCCAATACAAATAATGCTAGAGCAGGGTAAATATTCATATCTTCTATAGGAACCGCTCATGAACACCTCAAGCTAATAATTTAGATATTGTGTCTCGTGTCTCAAAATCACATGATTATGTACCAATGAATGTTTTATCTAAGCAGAAGTGTGTTTGTGCTTTTCACAACCGTGGGAATGCGGCTGCCATGGCCAGGATTGTAATCCAGCAACGGTGGGGGGGAGCGCGACACAGATTTTTTCACCCCTTTCCCATTGCCTACAGTCGAGCGCGCGATTGTACAGCAGCAACAGTAAACATTTGTTGCTTTACCAGGAACATTGCCGATTAAGTTTTCGCTATTCATGTGGAGCTTGAGACGAGCAGAGAGCGAACGCAAACAGGGGAACATCGCGCGAACCGAATGCATCATTATGTGCGGCAGGCATATTTCGGTGTACATTTTGCTGAAGGGTATGAGAAATTGAATTGTCTATGGATACTCTTTCTGCAAAAACACAGAGATGAGAATGTAATAATAATAATAATAATAATAATAATAATAATAATAATAATAATAATAATAATAATAATAATAATAATAATAATAATAATAATAATAATAATAATCATTATTATTGTTATTATTATTATTATTATTATTATTATTATTATTATTATTATTATTATTATTATTATTATTATTATTATTATTATTATTATTATTATTCGTGTTTAATCAAGGCGGTGAGAAGGGCTGAGAGGAAAAGCTACAAAGGCAGCTTGAGATGCCGTCTCCGTTTTCTCTGGGTAAAGTTTTTCTATTCTTTTTTTGTAACGCATAACTCTTGAGTTCTTGATTCTTCCATTGAATCAATACCAAAATAAGTAGCCCATTATGGTTTCTCAGGAGATTTATTTCATTTATTAATTTGTCCTAATATCAGCAAAGCTAAAAACAGTTCGTAAAATGAACAGCTCACATTATAAACTGGGCACCGTCAAGCGCTTTCGCTTCCAGCGAAAACTGGTCGCTACAGGAACGACTTGAAAGATTTCTCAAACGCCTGGTGAATATCGGGTGAGAAAACTTTATTGTACACTGTACATTCAAACATTCTTCGCCGTATGAGCGGCACCACGTGATTCACTCTTGGCAGCCACGCCCGCGATGGGAGCATCCCGTACATTTCGCTGGCCCACAGAATGCTTTGGAAGCTTAAAGCCAGTAGATATCGCGAGCAGGTCTTGTACTTTCGACTCCGAATTAAAGCTGTGCGAGAATGTTATTAGGTCTGCCTGCCGCAGATGTTTTACAGTTTTTCAGATTTTTTCTCTGTAACTCCAGTTCAGAGTGTTATAGGCAAAAAAATATCTTTGCAGCCACGTGATTTTGCAACAACACACCTATACAGTGGCATATATATACACACACACATTATGACAAACACACTAGAATCAGGCGTACACAATGAATTGGTGGAAATACTTGGCGGTCGTTTATCACGTAGTGCACTTCCTCACTGTTGTAGAGGCCTCTAATTGGTAAATAAAGCAGGTATAGCGGGAGCTCGTTATGCTCTGGCGTGCGATTGCGACATTATGGCATCTGAGAACGGTGGTTGTACGCGAAAGACATTTGGTCCTGCGATTGGCGCACCTGGAGCGAGCGCTTGCCAGGTCGTGTTCACCTATATCGAGAGAAGTGAAGTGGAGAAATCTGGGAAAGTGGAAGGCGACGCCGTCTGACGAGAAAATTAAGGCGAGACATAACTCCGAAGACTGCGAGCTTGATCCTCCAGTTTCGCCCCGGGATCCAATATTTTCTTTGGGCTCAGTTCACGCGTACGCTTTATGGACCACATCGGCTTAAGGGGAACGCCGAAAAAGAAAGTTATAACATAAGCTGCTTATGATTATCAAGTATAGATATAAATAACACTTTTATTCGTGAGACGTAATTAGAACACCAGAGAAAAAAGTCAAATGAGAGGCAGGTGAGAAAGAAGTCAGCGTAGGTAGTGTTTGTGCTGGTGTCCCCCACCCCTTTTTTTGAGGTGTGATAAAGTGGCCAGCACTACCGCACCATTCCGCATCATTTTGCCGTGACGTCGTACATTTTGGCAGTATATAGGTCTCGGCAATTATTCGTTATCAATAAATAAGGCGGGCAAAAAAAATACTTTGCGAGTTTAGAGAATTATATTTTCGCTACTCGTGTATACGTTGTTCTTAGATACTATACTTAGCGTGTTTATGTTCGTGTCTTAGTGAAGGTGCGATTTGAATTAATCGGCCTTCCTGATCGACCGAGCCGGCAACGTGCGTTAAGACGACGTAAATGTTATTTATTGCTGTTTTCGTTGCTTGCGTGTCCTTTGAATACAATCGAAGCGTGGAAACAAATAAGGTGCGGCGTTGCTTTCTGGTCTACTAATGGCGGGCGTTTGTGATTGGGCAACGTTCACTTGCCACTGTTACCTGAGAAAGACGTCTCTGCCTTCCTGTGACGACATTAGGGTCTCAGTGAAAGCGTCCTCTTACTGCCTCTCATCTTCGCCGTAGAAGAAGAAATAATGGTGCCGCTATGTGGCCAGCAGCAGTGATAACAGAGACCAACAGCATCGCGTGACTGAGGGTCACCGGCGCCCGCCTAAAGGAAGGAAATGTCCGTTGCACACGTGGAGAGGAGATCAGCCTGCTTTGAAAGCTCCGGACCAAAATTTCTATCGGATGGCTGAGCAAGTTTAGAAAACGCTTTGCTTGCGAGACACGTGGGAGTTTGTCCCAAGCCCATTGGCACAATTCGGAAAGACGTGCGAGTTGCATGTGAAAAAAGAAGGCAAGAAAAGAACAGATACAATGCGAGGTATTAGTAAATATGCCGTGGGCCTTCTCACACTTTGAAAGTGCGGCGTGGCGTTATAGGCTTGTGTTGAGCCCCACCCGTGGCAGGCAATAAACGCGTTACGTTAACGGCTTTTCGTTGCCTGATATCCACGAAACGTTCAGTAAAAAAAAAAAAAAAAACGCGAGGCACTTAAAAAAAAGTGGTATAGCTTTCTGAAGATCCTTGTGTAAGAATTTTTTTCTAAAGTGATCCGGAAAAGGATTATATTTACATGTTATATTTGGCGCTTTGATTATCAAAATTTATATATATGGCATGTCATTTCGCAAATAATTAAAAACTTGGGCGAAAGCGGCAGGATTGTGTGCATGAGCCAGCTGCCATCGAACTGGCCGTGACTTCACCAGCTACAACTACAGAATCAAGTGATAGAAAGAGAGAGAGAGAGATAGCGAAATAGTAAAGACATAAGCTTAGAATCACATGCGGCTTTGCGGCACATATTCGGGCGCTCAAATTTCACAGAAAGAAGAACAAGAAGACTTCAAAGCAAGAATTTATGGGAGTGCTTAGCCACAACTGCATAATATCAACACAACACGTATTTACGAACTACCGAAATTCGCATAACCGGGCGCCACAGCAGCACGTCATTGCACAACCATGAGCAGGCTACTAGACAATAGAAAAAAGCATCCTTGCTTATCGCTGTTTGTCCACTCACAACATTTACAAGAGGTGAAACATGTATAGGACTATTTACATATTCAAGCAGCTATATACATAACACATTTTCAGAATTTCACTGAAACAATGGCGCCATTCGCCGCAGTGTCTTTCTCGACGAGATCGGTTTCACAGGCACCGTTTGTATAGCCATTGTGATGGCATCCATTGCAAACGTTCTTTGGGACGTCGGCGACGCCGTTGGAAACTTGCAGTTTGAACAACGACGCGTCCTCTATTTTTGTCGCACCATTACCGGTGGTGACTTGGACGGCGTTGAGGTCTTGACTTTCATTATTGTATTTGGTGTTGTCGCTCCTCATCTGGTCTAAGTTCATGAACCTTCGGAAGAACTCGTTATCCAGGCCTGCCACGGGACATTCGATGAGGAGGTAGACGATGGCACCCAGGAGGTAGGACATCACCACTTGTGATATGTAGAATTGAGCCTGCGTATGCCGCCAGAGTAGCGCAAGTTAGTTGTACGTTAGACGCAAGAAAGGTGTCATGAAACAATTTTGCGGCTGCGAATAAACTTGCAACAGTAACTCCATACAAGACATTCGTTATATTGCTGAGCAGGAGGTCGATTCCTGGCCACACCTGCCAAATGTTGATTGGCATGTGGCGTTTAACGTCCCAAAACCATTGTGAGTATGAGAGACGTTGTAGTGGAGGGCTCCGGAAATTTTGACCACCTGGGGTTCTTTAACAGCACTCAAATTTGAGCACATGGGCCTACAGCATTTTCGCTTCCACTGAAAATGCAGCTGCCACCGCCGAGATTCGATCCCGCGACTTGCGGGTTAGCAGCTGAGTACAAATAACAACTATTTTATTTATTTATTTATTTAAATACCTTAAGAGCCCGGAGGGCATTACATAAGGGGAGATACATACAAGAGGTTACTATAGCATCAGTAAAACAACATGTCAGGGAGTAATACTAGTAATCAAACAGACCGATAGCCCAAGCAACATTACTAATAACACAATAAGCGAAAAACACAGTAAGCAGCCCACCATAACAGGAAACATATTTCAAGAAATAGCAATAAACATTCTCTAAGCATGCGTTACACATTAAATGTCAATGGTGGTTACAAATTATTGTCAACTTCTAAGTAAGTTTGTACTGCAGACTGGAAAAGGGAGGGTTCTGTAATAGTGACGATGTTTGAGGGCAGCGCGTTCCACTCGTTAATGGATAACAGCAGAGGTGAAAATTGGTATTTCTTAGTGCGTGAATATATTGTATTGACCTTATGTGCATGACCAACGCGATCAGAAACGTAGGGAGCTGGGTGAATGAATGATCGGGAAAATGACGAGTCACTATGATATAAACTATGGAAAAAACATAGGCGGGACAACTTTCTGCGCGTGGCAAGCAATGGAAGGTTCAGAGAACGCTTAAGACATGTTACGCTTTGGTGGCGAGAATGACAGGAGGTGATAAACCGAGCTGCTTTATAACTAGACCACCGCGCTAGAGTGTAACCGCGGCGGGGCCACCTAGCTACCAAATGTTTGTACAAACGATGGAAGAACGCTCAGATATCCCACTTTTGCGTGAGCGTTAAAGAAGCCCAAGTGGTCGAAGGTAACCCGAGACCTCCTGTACGCAATCTGTCGTGGCCCTTGCAGAACGTCGGGGAGCTAAGTTTTGCGAATCGACTAGATTACGGAATAATGTTACGACTTTACTTTGGTTGTATTTATTTTCACGCTTTGTCATGACTATACGACCATCGCTACAGCTGCTTTACCACAAGAATCGGTTTTTAGGAGCCGTAGACGATAAACGAAAATTCCGGAATACTTTCAAAACAATCATAATATACGAGCCAGGTTTCCCAGATTTTTCTCGATTATGCTACAAGTCAAGCTCTGTGACTTCTAAGGGTTGGTAACGTTTCAATAATGTAGTAACGACCTCTTGATAAGATAGTAACGATCCCTTGCTAAGGAATCAAGCTAATCCCGACTCATCTCTAGTGTTACAGTGACAGGTATACATTTGGCACTTTTGTCACATCTAGTAAGCCTTGTGCGGTGTGTGTATATATATATATACATGTGTGTGTATGTATATATATATATATATATATATATATATATATATGTGTGTGTGTGTGTGTGTGTGTGTGTGTGTAGAATATCTGTTGTGTAGAATACCTTCTAGACTACCTGTTGATAATTCTGCATGTAACCTATTTTTATGGTAAACGGAAGCGTTATATGTGCGACTTATGTGCAGGTGTTGTTGCTTACGTGCAAGAAAGGCTGTTGAGTGATGTTCTCCCGGCTCAGAATGGCGTTGGTGCCCATGAGGAGGATATGCACCATGTATACTGAGAATGAAAGCCTTCCCAGCGGGTACATGATAGGCCAGGCGAGGATCTTGGTGACGAAACCTCCCCGGCCCGTGGCGCAAGCGTACATGACCCAGCCAACGCACAATCCCCAAGACACTCGGTGCATTCCGCCGTAGATGGCCGACTCTAGTCTGTGCGGCTGGCGGCCCTCGAACCAGCTGCGCACGCCCAGCAGCGCGGCGAGTGACACCGTGATGGCCAGGACCCAAGCAGCGCCCTGAACCATCTTCGACAGACGGTGCCTCTTGACGGCCAGGCAGCCGAAGATGATGCCCACGAATAGCGGCGGTGCGTGCGTGTATGCCTTGACGTAGATGTTCATCGCCGATTCGATGAGCTGCCTGCGGGGGAGATAGGAGACACAGCGCAGTCAGTGACCGACAAGAATACTGCTGCTTGCGATAACATGTCGCAAAAATGAAACTGCGTAGTTAAACAAGGCTTAAAGGGGCTCTGCAACAATTTTCCAAGTAACAATTGAATGGCTTTATTAAAGAAGCTTATGGTCTCATGAATCGACAGCCGAAAAAAAAAATGTTAGAGTGAACCTAGTACGAGCAAAGTTTTCCAGATTTATCACATGCTCTAATTTCTTTCTCTCTTGTCTAGGTGAGCATGCTGGAAGCCAAGAGGGAAGGAATATTATTGGAGAAAGATGTTTCGTTACGTGCGGTCATGGCCTTGAGCACGTTTTCTTTTTTTTTCGAACGCGCGGTTTACTTTCAGTGTGATCGTCAGCGAGCGTGCGGGACGTGGCGGCCTCTCGCGGCGTCCTCGTTGTCTACACAGCTCACGATGCTCAAATCAGCCAATGGACGTGAATATGGGTGTATGGCGAGATCATTCGGGTATATGACTTTATTTGTCGAAAGTAAAAAGTACGATTTGTTGCTGACTTTAAAATAATTGCGAATTTCAGGCCCGCGTTCTGCGATATATTGTTTTGCTCGCGTATTCTGAGGAGCCTTGACAACCTTGTTGCCTTTTCTAACCATGCTGAATCACTGTTGCAGGGCTCCTTTAAATTTCACTTTGGTAGTGTTACGGTCCACGTGCTGTTATGGACACTCCATGAAGTCGCTTTGAAACCGAGGTCAGTGCTCTTGTCGTTTACCACCATCCTTCAAATACACTTTCTGTTCACTGTGAACTTCTGCTAGCGTTCTAGAAGGGGAATGACCGAACAAGTACGACTTACCTCACATTCGTGGTTAAGACGATGTTGAACGGCGTGTATTCATGCACGTAAATCTGAATACCGGTCGTCAGACAAGTGGCAACAACAATGAGTCCCATGAAATACAGAGATCCTTTGAACCATCTGCAACAAAAGAATCAAAGCCGCCGTTTGTTATAGTAGCGCGCAGTAAATTGAGACATGCTCTCTGAAAAAGAGGGCTGCTGGTACAGAGAAATAAGAGATGGCTATAAGACCACATGACAAGCCACATGAACACACTGTTCCTATCTTAATGGTTTTTATGTTGCAACATTTACTGATCTGGGAACAACTACGGAGAAGGCGACAAAGCAAAGAAAAAAATGAAAAATATTTTGGCGAGGTCCTTGAATCACTGCGCTATTCAGTTGCATATAATACGCAGACGCATTACCTTGTCCAATTTACTTATTACGATTCGTAGTGGTCGTGTTGTTGTGGTGCTTTAATGCTGTCGTGCAGCTCGCGGGATCAAATTTTGGCCGCGATGGCGGCATATCGATGTATGGGAATTCTAGAGGCGCGTGTGGGAAAATTTGCGCGCATGTTAAATAACCACATGTGCTCGAAGTTTCTGAGCCGGCCACTATGGCGTCTCTCGCAATGGTATCGTATTTTCGAACAAAAAAAAAAAAAAAAAACGCCAACAATTGTAACTTACTTATTTTCATATCAACGAACCACGACTCCAACTATGCGTTCATGTTTTCGCAGTCGAATGAGCAGTATTGACGAACGTGCCGTATAGTCGGGTACAACTTTAGAAGACAAGGGGAGGCCCCGCCCAGATGACTGAAGCGCAACAGCCAATTCGCTCCGCGACTAAAGAAGTAGTTCTGCTAAAAAAATTGTAACTGCTTATGAAGCGCGTATTTGTCGGTGTAAATAAGATTTGTGTATCGTGACGAGCGCTTTGGTAAAAATGTAATGATGGAAATTCTACAGCACATGCCGGATCGCGGAGGCCGATAAAGAACGTCCCTCACACATCCTGCTCGATTTGAGAATTTGCACAGAAGCGCATTTCAATGCTCGCATATTTGATTGAAACACTTTCCTGATTATCGTTGGCAAGCTCAAATTTTTCATTCGGGCAGCTAGACGCGCTCCAACATCTTATCAAACTGGTGCCAACGATCGGTCGTTTGCGCACTGAGCTGGAAACAACGAAGTTAGCATGTTCTCTGTCCGCAGGATCACCGGCCGTCCGGCTCATGACGACCTGAAGTGCGTGCCTATTGGCAGATGCTCGCGCGCATCGGACTTTGAGGCGAAAATGCTGTTGCCTTCTAATGTTACACACGACTTTAGTATTGTCTCTTTTTTCTGTTCAGAACTGTATAAACAAACTTAGATAACCGAGTAATCACGAGATTAAGCCTAGCAAACCTGCATGATGTGTCAGGCGGACATTAACGAACGAGCAGTGGGATCAGTGTAGCACGTTCTTGCTAATAATGGAATGTGTATCTTGTTGGAAAATAAGGCATGCAAACCTTGTGCATAATATAGGCTAAATAAAGAAAATAACCACTTACTTAGGCATGATGAAGACCAAGAATATTGTGCTGACGATGGCAAGCTGGTAATCGACTGAGATGTACCAGTAGTGGGGCATACACTGCACGAAAGAAAAACAAGTGACTGCTTGAGGACACCGCACCCTGTGCAAGTGCGCAAACACGCTGTTTTATAGAGGTATTTACAAGTACAGAAACAGTAGTAATAACGTGCACTGTAAAGAACCCTAGGTGGTCGAAATTTCTGGAGTCTTCCACTACGGCGTCTTTCATAAACATACGGTGGGTTTGGGACGTTAAACTCCACATATCAATCAATCAATCATTCAATAAGTCAATCAATTAATCAGAAGTAAGACCATATTTATTTGTTGAATAGAAGCGTTCCTTATTTTTCTTCGCAATAAATAGCATTTGAGGCATTAAAGAGTAGTTTTAGGGCATAATAGTTTCATGAAATTTCCTCGAACGTCGCTTTTTGTCGAGCATCATAAAAACAAAAAATTAACAAAAGCGTATGAAAGAATTATTACCGGAGCCGTCTGAAGGTGCGACGTGTGAATGTTGTTCACTGACAAATTGAGAAGTTAATGTCCTCGTTCGTTCATTTTGTTCATTATCGCGAGATGTGTTGGCGCTTCTAAAGGGTTCCGACATAAACAAAATTTTGGTTCCTTTCTCTCCTTAACTACCCTTCCTACAGGCGCCATCTCCTCATCGCCATTTGCTTCTTCATAATACACGTGTGCAACGTTAGCGCTGAGCTTTGAGCCTATCGTGATTTTGCACTTTTACATGCACGCTGATATCTCCAATTGTGTGGTCGGAAACACACAAAACGAAATGAACTCGGTTGATCGCGCCTGATAGTCACACGAGACAAGGCAGATCAGGTGTGCAACTGCATGACAAAGCAAGGTAGCAGACAATTCACAACTGATATGCTTCGTACTATATATGCACTAGTCGAAAGCCCATTTCATCACGACCTCATGTCAACGTACTGCTGTTGTTGCTAATCGTGTCGAAAAGACGGGAAACGCCAGGAGTGAAAAACGTGCTCGTTCTAGGTGTTTTTCAGGCATTGTTTATAGGGATGTTTTAAGCAGACGACGTCGCTATTATTTAAATAAAATTAGTGCGCAAGACAGATGTGTCGGTTCACTTGAGTTGCAGGAGCTCACCTATCACATTGATACATAAGTCCATAAGCAGTTACGGCAGTACAAAGGCCTCGAACTGTAGGTCGTATGGTGGTTTCGAAACGGATGATAACGTCAAATGGCAGCACAAAATACAGTCGTTCCTACATGGGTGGCTTATACTCTTATTGAATATACGAAACGAAAGCTTCATTGTGCGGTATCTGCAGGCACCTATAGCTTCAATAACCATGCTCCTGGAAACTGAACGTTTTTTCATACATATAGGCATCTTTGATTTTCGCTATATGACTTGTTCTCTCCCTCTTTTCCTCCCGTTGCCTGCGCAGAGAATACCTTGTCGCACTTTTTATTGAGATTAACTTTCTAGTCAATACTTGTCCTCGCTTGGCGATTTTTCTCTCTTTTTCATTTAGCAACACGATTGTCGCGCACCCGTTCTTATGAGCCGCTTCCGGCATTTAGTTTATGTCAGTTTCTGTAGATTTTCAAAGGTGTGAGGTAAAAGTGTGCGCTATTTGAAAACTGTTGCAATTATCATGCTCGTGATGTTAGTTATCTTTCAAAAACCTGTCGTAGGATTGATAACTCTATGACGCAGGGCCGCGACAGGCTACTCACCAGGTCCTTGAAGCCGTCCATGTAGTTTTGGGACATAGTGAATATCTTCCACCAGCTCTTTTCGCAGGGGCCCACGAAGAGATGCCAGTAGTCGTGCAGCACGGGCCCGTCCGCCAGGGCAGGGATGAGGTAAACGAAGCCGAAGAGCGCTGCCATTGGAACGATAAATCTGCGGCAAGGCAGAAAACAATGTTTATTTAGCCCGTGCACTGGGTTTTCTTTGCAACGTTCTTAGTAGCGGCTGTACCGAAAAAAAGCGAGACGCATCCAGCATGGACGACGTCCATTTGTTGGTTGCATTTTATTGCGGAAGCAATTACACGGACATTATTAGCTTATTTGCAGTCAGCCTCACCGTGCCATTCCGGATATATATATATGAAGGAAAGTGTAATTTTAAGGGCTCGTTCTTTTTTGTTAGACGCTATATAAATTATAACTACAAGACAGTAATTGCATAGAAAGTATAAGAGATGTTATTAGAAGTAGTTGTAATGCAAATTCGAAGAAAGAAGAGTGGACGAAAAGATAACTTGACACCGGCAGGATCCAAACCTGCGACCTTCGAATAACGCGTCTGATGCTCTACCACTGAGCTACAATTGCGGTAATCCCCGTCCACTTTGTAGGGCATATATGTGCATTTTAACCGTGGGAGCGTTAGTCAGCGCCACCTGTCGCCATTGCGGCGAGTGTACAACACTTTTTCTTGCATGTTGGGCGTCGCTTAGTGCGTATCTTATTACGAGATGGCAGCCGAACAAGCATCTCTCACATACCACTTCAATGCATCAATTCTGCCAGAACGAGGCCCTTGCTATGAATGAAGCAAAGTATAATATACACAGGGTGCCCCAGGTAACTTTAGCCAGAGTTTAAAAATATGCCAACACACGCAATTACGATGCGACCAAATGCGTGTTGCTCACCGTTGCAAATTAGTATGAGAAGGCAAGATGGTTTGACGAAGATGACGCGCTGGTCAAGACATGAATAATGTCACAGTGCCATTGCGTACGTCGTCAAACCCTTTCCGCCAGACGTGTGGCAATACCAGCGGTGAGGGGGTAGTCGCAGATGTTCAGGCGCCATCCGGTGAAGTTGCTTTATGCGGCAGTGGTCAGGGCTACCATGATAGACAGTTAAGGGCGGCACTTTTCTTTTCCTTATTATATTCACTCAGAAAAATCACTTAGAGAAGGAGCGGTATGCGCCACAGGTGATCGACAGCATACCCAGGAAGGGCGAGAACAGACATGGGTAATTTGAACGCGTGAGCATTAATAAAAAGCCGACATCGGCAGCGTTGACCCAACAAATGCAAATAATAAATTTCAGGGTCCCCACAGGAATTGAACCCTGGCATTCTGCGTGACAATCAAGTACTGCACCGCCGAGCCACGCCATGCCTCGAAACTGCTTTTCAAATACACCCTAATATTCGTGAGACGTCCATTGTGGTTGCACTGCTGGCTATTCAACTTTATAAATTTTACGAATGTACTCCTATGATACAGCCGTCGCATCGGGTTAACGCCAATTGTAGTTGGGTGCCATCCACTGAAGTTTATTTATGTAGCAGTGGCCAGAGGAGTGCTGGTGCTATCGAGGATGCTACCATCCTCGATAGCACCAGCACTGCTTATTGCTTCTGGTGTTGCTAATACTCATGGTACTATTAGAATCGTTGCGCAAGGGCAAACACGTTATATAAACATCTGCAACTGTTCAGCATATGCAATATTTGTACACATAGTTCGCGTCATTTCATAACGCGTTGCTCAATAAAAAAATTTCACGGTCACCTTCTTTACGCATGCTTCGCATAACGTAGATTTCCAAGGTGCGTGGTATGTGCCAAAGTTTTCACACTTTGCCGCCAGATTTGAGTCATTTAAGAGACATAATCGATACGTCACTCGACACTTAGCGCCTAATCACTGTCCCGTTCCTTGCGGAAGGCGAAATTTTGTGATTGCGGGCCGCCAGGTAAAGTGAGCCTGATACCCATTCATAAGATGACGACAAGGTCAGCTCGCACGCAGTGAGCTGAGTCTGGAGATGTGCGTGTGCCAACACATATTTCTGTGGCTTAAGCGTTCTGCTTGAATTACGTCAGGCCGACTCGTCGTGGACTTCACTCTAGCCTACACTAGAGAAACGTAAATGTGGTAAAAAGACTGTTCTCGTGATTTTGTTGCGGCGACCATACACTTTTACGAATGTTCCATTAAATAAGCCGAACAAGACGACGAAGACGTTACTTGACTTGAAAAAGAAGGACGAAAAAAGTATGCCGGAAAACGCGCTTGATGCGAGTGTAGAAAACAGTTCGACAGAAGCCGAATAGCTGCCACATACAAAAAGGTAATAATGCAATTACTCTTTTATAATAACCAAAAGCGTTAACCCTGATCACTCCAGATTTTCGGCAGTGCACCTGTCCTTCGTTAGTGTTAACCGCGTATGTTTTTTTTATATATGTGAACCTATTTAATACAATTGAGAGGTTGTAATTTGTGGTTGCTGGCTTACCTGATGTAGCGCCTTCCCAGTGCCACGATGAATAGCAGTAGTGGGTGAATGTCCAAATTTGGTGCCTTGGTCACAAGATAGCCCGAAAGAAATCCTCTGTAAAAAATAAAAAAAAGCCACTTTTTCATACAATGATCAATGTTCGTAGTTGAATTGATGAGCATGTGCACTTTAAGATTGGCTTAACCAAGAGGGGGAGGGGGGTTAGAATCTGCCCGCAAAGTTTTTCAATTTTGCTTGCGTATATATTCACGTACATATACAAACACATGCACGAACATACATAAGGTATGGTTGAACATCCCCCCCGCTAAAAAATGCTGACTATACACTCCTGCAGCCGAACATGATATGTAAAAAATATTTTTTATCGTTATAGAGCTGATACTGGACAGCGAAACGCCACGAGCATAAATTAATGCAATATTGACCTCGAATTTCCACCATGCATGCTGTTTCATGAACAGCAATTTTCTGTTCGAATGTCTGTAATAAGAGCATATCTGCTCACCCAACACAGCGAGAAGATTCTCAGCGTTGGGGTGCCTGCATTGAAGGCACATTTTATGGCAATGACGTGTTCCAAGAGATGTATGCTTCGCTTTGAATTGAAGGAAGAGCTTTTTTGTTTAAAAATTCATAACTTTAATAGTAGAGGTTCCCTTGGTACTAAAACATGATTATAAATGCAGTTGGACATCGTTCACTCGATCCAGCCGTATGCGTTCTTATTACTGATTTTTACTACTAAACGATTCAAACGATTTTATTGGTAACGATACTTTAACGAAGCGTTTCCCGCGGCAAATCCTACACATCGTGTGAAAACTGGGTGCCGCATTATCATGTTGTCCCAGAGTAAAAGACAACTTGCCTGCTCGGTGTCATGGTCAAGGATACTTACGTTATGACAAGGAACGTCTCGACTGACATGAAGGCGTTGATTTGAACAGTGAACAAGAAGTCTTCTTGAATCCGCTTGAGGAAACGAATTATGTTGGCTGGAAAAGAAAGAAAAGTTCATAGAATCACTCGTACAATAAGCGGTACAATACTTCTGCTTAGACTTGCTGAATACTTTCTTAACTCCCGATATACTGTTTGTTAAGCGAACAATGCAAAAAAAATTCGCGACATGTTTTTCTTGGTGACACCTGAGAAGATGTATGTGTACATATTCAGCGGGGCAACCGGCTTAGTCGATTTTTGTTATGAAAATTTTCGTTCAAAACCTCAGCTAACACATTTTAGCTGAAGAATGTAACCTTGCCCTTACAAATGCCAGCCCACTTGCTAGACGTACTTCATCAGTCGCGAAATACACATGTACATTCAAGTTAAAGCTATCATCTACACCAAGGAAAGGAAAAGGTCAAACAAGCACAACGTATTTTATCTATTAATACGTAGCAGTAAGAAAGTGTAGGTGATTAACAGTTAACGAGGCAGCAGCTACAACCATCCTCATGTTTATAGTTATGAAAGCCGAATGAAACGGACAGAACAGGAAGAAAGTTTCGTGGTGTGCACATTTATGCACGTTCTAGTTACTTACAGCTGGCGTGCAGGTCCCGTAGCATGTGGCTGTGTCCCAGAACGATCCACGTAGCAGAGAAGACACGCACACCATGAATGAAACCGAGCTTGTTGGAGTAGTCACCCCAGTTGGGCATGTCCATCAGTTTCTTGAAGGCCCTTCGAAGGGAAACGGACTGCACCGAATCGGAGAGGTAGCCTGCGCAAGAAAGAAAACCACTTGTCATGTCTTTGCGCCTTGCTTACACGATGGAGTGTAAGACAAGCGTTTACATTTCACCGGAGAAGAAAAACGTTCCCGCAAGGAGCATGCAATCTATCGATATGACCAATTGCTGCCTAATGCTACCCTATAACATAATTATAATTCGTAACGCCCATCAAACTCATTTCAGGGTGAACTCCTGAGCGAGCGGGTAGGAAGGTGCGTGTTTTCTTGATTTGGCAATTCGCTCGCTGGATTTCCTGCCGACTGGTTGTGCCCTCGCGATCTTCGACGACAGCGCAGTTATGACCGACGACGCTCGCCCTAAGCCATCTCCTGACGCCGATCTCCGACGACAGCGTTGCTCTGGCCGACTGGGCTCGCCCTACGCCATCTCCTGACGCCGACAAGAGCTCTCGCCGAGTGGTGCCCCGTCCTCGGACTCCTGCGACCGTCTCCATCTTTCCTATCTTCTCCTTACTTCCGTCATTCGCTGTCCCTGTGCCTCGCTGTCTCCTTTCTCTCTCTATATCTCCTTAACTTTTAATCCTATTCATTTAATCCCTCCTTTACCCCCACCCATCGTGAGCTACTGTTGAGGTGTCCTCCCCCTGAGAGACAGTTACGGGGCTCACTTTTCTCCTCTTTCATTCAAAATCACCCCTCACACCTCTTCGTTCTTTGGATGATTCGTAAGCTGCGGCCTTTACGTCTTGTCTCGCCTCGCTGTGCGTGTCCTGTTGTTTTCGGCCTCACGTGGCGTTTCTGGACGGTGGCCCACTGAAGGAAACATCCGTGAAGTTTATTTTTTGCTTAAACGTTTTGTTGATAACAGCGTTCCTGTCTCACCCTATAAATCCAGCTACAGCCAGCGACAACTTCTTCCACAGGCTCTGTATAAGTCGTCCGATCGAAGCAGGAATGACAGGTAGGCTCAACCGAAACTTTACTTACTTATGAAGGGGTGGTACTTCGGTTCCTTGATTTCTTCCGTCGAGAGAATCGTCCTGTAGATGTCGTAGGCAGTTCCGAAAAGAATGAAGGCGGTCCACAGTACGAAAAGGCACCTGCAGAGACGCACGTAAAAAGAGCGATTTCTCTTGCGTATTCTTTATGAGAGCTGACGTCAGTAATAAAGCTGAAAGCTGGCAACCAGAAGGTGGCTGTGTGATACGACTGCAGTACGCCATCATTTATGGGAATTATGAAAGCATTGAACTGTAGAGAAGCACTTCTAAATAATAATGACAAATCCTGCAAAATCTTGTTGACAGCCGAAAGAACAGGAATAGATTGACGATATCTGATGTCATGTTTGCTTTTGGTTCCTGCTCGAAGTTGAAGAATATGCACAAGCGTATATGCAAACTCAGGTGCCTGTATAAAGCGATCTCCCCCCACCTTCTCGCACCCCCTTGCTCAGATACGCACAAGAAAGAAAAAAAAATTCAGGCTGTAAAGTAAGTTCCTAAAGCAGACAAACGTTATATATAGTGACTAAATTGTTTTTTAAGCTTAGCCATTGGTGCTTTTTAAAAAAGCGTTGCAGTTACATCAGCCGAACTCGAGGACAGGTGATTGACCCCGTATACAGAAACACTGTTTGACTTGAACTTGACTTGCCATCGACTTCAGTGCAGCACGAACGCGTTTCGAACGCGTTGTCTTTAGGCTGTACCAAGGTAGCACAAACGCACAGACTGTTTTCGAACGCGCTGTATTGAAGGCGGTTTTAAGACAAGTTCAAGTCGAGAAGTATTTCTGAATACGGGTGTAAATGTCCGTCTACGCGCACTGAGCAAGTGCGACAGGAACGTCTCAAATGATTACCGATAGATTTAATCTATTTCAACTAATAAAATGTTTCTTAACATGAATGACCTTTATTGTCACCACTGCTCTACATTTGCTGTGTTGTGGTGTTGTGCCCTATCATTAGGGTTCCTCTCACCCGTGTATTTCTGCACGGATTTTCTCTATTTAGACTGCCTTTGTTATATAGTATTATTATTATTATTATTATTATTAACTCCTCTCACGTGATGCGTGCAGCAGCAGTGGATTGTTCCTCCGTACATTGAATAAACGATTGATCGAGTGATTGTAAAGTATAGGGTATTCGTCGTCACTTACACAATCAAGGTCTGTCGTCGATCTAATTTGACTGGCTCTTCGGTCTTGCACCACGCAGCCTTTATGTTGAGATTGAGATTGCCGACAACTGCATGAGGGTTAAGAAGACAAAGTCGTTTTTTTTAACATTGGTCATAACAAAGAAATGAATGATTGAATGAATGAATGAATTAATGAATGACTGAAAGAATGAATGAATGAATGAACCTGGCAATAGAGCCCAAGCTAGCTGTGAAAGTTATTTCCGCAACGGCTCTACAGGTACAAAAGTCATGCTAGAATAAGAGGTGATGTCATGCTGTTTTATTCTCCAAGCAACTGAAGCAGTGGATGCCGTAGCGGTACAAAACAAAGAAAACCGTAACGTGCGTGTGTAGTTTGCTTTAGAAATGGTAAGATGCATGCAAAAAAAAAAGAAGCTTGTGCACGCGTCTATAGTACATTTTCTATATCTAAAATAGGTTCAGCATTAAGTTCGGAAGCAAATGTCGTCCATGACACTCGAAAGAGCTCGTGTGAAACGCGATAGCGAATGACATCGTCTTGGGGGGGGGGGGGACGAAAGAGCGAACTTACAGTGGTCGATGATCACTTGAAGGTCCTCCCGGTTGCATACCGAAGGCAGACAAACGCCGTACTTGAGAAGGGGGATGATAGACACGAACTCCTTGTCATTGATCCTGGAAATGTTGCCGATATACTGTTGGACGGGGAAAAAAAACAAGTGTGTTACGAAGTGCTTCTGAACTATTTCATTTTGTGTCTGCCTATTTCCTGACATTATGACGAGATGGTGAAATGTTTTTGCATCAGTTACCGAGTGTAAAGCTCTTTATCAGGGTGAGGGGGGGGGGTTGGCACTCAATATATGCGCTATATTTAGTGTTTGCACACACACTTCATTGCATTCTAAGGCGATATGGTATAAGGTGTTGGAAATACTGCAGAATTTTACATTCTCTTGTGTACGTCGCGAAACACTTGATGATTTGCAGATGCTGTGGAGGTAATTGCGCATTTGAAGATGGTGCAGTCTGGCGTATCTTTCTTCTTTTCGTTTCCCGTATGATCGCAGCCAGTTCTGTCAAAATGCCCCGTCGCGGTGGTCTAGTGGCTAATGTGCTGGGCTGCTGATCCACAGGTCGCGGGATCTAATCCAGGCTGCGGCGGCTGAATTTCCAATGGAGGCAGGGATGTTGTAGGCCCGTGTACTCAGACTTCATCACCATCATCATCGTCGTCGTCATCATCATCTCGAAGTGTTGTTCTCTTCCGAGGTTGTACGTTACTTTCGTTTTCTGCAGGTTAATTTTGAGACCTACTTTTCTGCTCCCCTTGTCTAGCTCCATAATCATGAGTTGCAATTCGTTCCCTGAGTTACTCAGCAATGCAATGTCATCGGCGAAGCGCAGGTTACTAAGGTACTCTCCATTAACTCTTATCCTTAACTGTTCCCATTCTAGGCATCTGAAATCCTCCTGGAAGCACGCGGTAAATAGCATTGGGGAGATAATATCCCCCTGCCCTACACGCTTCTTGATTGGTATTCTGTTGCTCTCTTTATGAACCACTATGGTAGCAGTTGATCCCCTGTACATTTCTTTTAGGATGTCTATATATGCTTCGTCGACACCCTGATTCCGCAGTGTCTGCATGACTGCTGATATTTCTACTGAATCAAACGGCTTCTCGTAATCTATGAAGACTATGTATAGTGATTGTCTATATTCTGAGCCTTTCTCTATTACCTGATTGATAGTATGAATGTGGTCGATTGTTGAGTAGCCTGTTCGAAATCCTGCTTGATCCTTTGGTTGATGGAATTGGAATGTTGTCTTAATTCTGTTAGCAATTACCTTTGTAAATAACTTGTATACTACAGAGAGCAAGCTGATCAGCTTGTATTTCTAGTCCTTGTCATCTCCTTTCTTATGTATTAGGATGATGTTAGCATTCTTCCAAGATTCTGGTACTCTTGCCGTCAGGAGACACCTCGTAAACAGGGTCGCTAGTTTTTCTAACACAATATGTCCTCCATCTTTCAGCGGATCTGATGTTACCTGATCCTCACCAGCAGCCTTGCCTCTTTGCATGCTCCCCAAGGCCTTTCTTACTTCTTCTGTCATTACTGGCGGGGTGTCATCAGGTTTGGGTGCCCGTTAAGGAAACCCAGGTGGTCAAAATTTCCGGAGGCCTCCACTACAGCGTCTCTCATAATCATATGGTGGTTTTGGGACGTTAAACCCAACGTATCAATCAATCAGTTTTGTCAAAATTGTCAAAAGCCGTACTATCGCCGTGTAACGGTGAGTGTCGTCAGAGTAGTGCCTTCAGCTTCGGATAAATTCAGAACTAATAACGTTAAGAAAGTAGTATTCCAACTTTAACCTTCTTGAACTGAAGCCCGAAGCTTCAATTCCTGTACCGCAGGCGCATGCTTTATAAGACGGTATCCTTTCAGACATAACCGCGTGTAAGCAAGCAGGCGCCGCTTCAAAAGTCTTCTAAAATGGCGAGTCTCCTGAGGAACTGTCTTCGAGCAAGCCGGCGTGGTGAAACGCTGACGTGCTTACACAAGGATGACCCGGCAGGTCGCCGAGTCGCCTTTCAGACAAATGTGGTTGGTGATAAGAACTTCGTCAGCAGCGCTATAATACACTTACTGACATAGGATTTCCTTTGTAATTTGCTTTCACCATCCCACAATGTACGGTATAATACCTGCAGTACTGTTGGATATACATTTCCGCCTCTCTTCCTCTCTTTGTCACAGGGTAGGTTGCACTATCAGCGCCAAATGGAACCCGAGCATCGGGCGGCGTGCATTAGCAATGGTATGGTGCGCGCCCTCCAGTCATTGCCGTGGACAGGCGCAGTGCTGCCAAACCGGAATGCTGCGTGCCTGTCAATGGCTGCACGGTGTGCACTATACCATCGCTAATGCTCCCTGGTGTCAAGGTTTCATTTGGCGCCGATAGTGCTTACATAAAACACTCCATGAAATGCTACTAAAACGCTGTTCGCCCCATTTGGAAATGTTAGTCGTTTATGTGTACCACCGGGTATGCTTGGGACTCGAAAGCATCGATGGTGCACAATCCAGGTATACCTGTTGGAGGGAATCGAAGCTTCTTTCACCGTCAATAGTCTTATACTTTTAAAAGGCGAAAGCCTCATCAAACGCTAAAATTGACCGCCTGCGTCGACCATCGTCTCGCGGTGTCATCGTCAACATGAGTTCACGATGCAAATAATGGCTAAGGCTTAGCTCGGCTAGTCCCGCTTATGCAAGCGAAAACTTATTCACTTGGTTAGGCTTGTTTACCTTCGTAACCGAAGTACAGGGGAAGCACAGTTTGCCAACCGAACGATATGGCATGGCTAGTCGAACGTACCGTACTGCGCGCACTCACTGCCGTTGTTTCGTCAGTTTCCGAAGCCGTCGCCGCACTTGGGCGCAGTCGGCCGCAGTCGACGCGAAAAATGATAGGCCTACCAGCCGCTCGTGCTCACGTGCTCCCCGGCTAGCATATGCACGCGCTCCTTGCGTTTTCACCTCGCATACTGGGGAAGGTTGTTCGGAGAGGTAGACAGAAGAGCAGACGAACGCGTTCGCTGTATACGTCTGTGTTCAAATGCAGCGCCAAATTAAATTTCGCAGGGCTTGTCACAGGGTACTATAATAATCACTTATTAACCGTCAAAGGCCTATTAAAGGCATTACATAAGGAGGGGGGGCAATATCAGGGGCATTTCATGACACAAATTCATTGTTTTAAGCGTAAGTAACAAGCAAAGTAAGTACACAACATATAAAGAAAAAGGCGTGGTAAAGTGGGATGATGTAAGAACTTGTACATGTGGTAGGTAGTCGGACGCGAACACCAATGAATACCTTAAAAAGAAAAAAAAACGTTATTGTTGAGAAGAAGCTAATTGACGAGCTGCATGGTGTCAACGTTAGCTAAAAAACAGAACAACACTTTGAATGTCTTGGTGGCGCTCCTAAACAACAAACTCCGGAAGACTCCAGTGTTGAATCGCTGAAGGCAGGAATGATTTGTTAGAAGGTCGAGTTGATCCATGGAGACCTCTAACACTTTTTGAGAGTTTAACAGTTCACTCGAGGTGCGAGTTCGTGAAATAAGTAGAGTATCATGCAAATGACATGCGTTCTTCACTTCAAAGCCATGCGGAGATACACAGTGGAACTCGCTCGACTATAAGCCAGAGAAGCTTTCGCTTTAAAGATCATCATCACTTGGTGACGTCACCATATGATGCCACCATTACGTCACGGATAGTCGAAATTGGTGACTTTACCACGACTTCACAATGACGTCAAATAGCATGACGTCCTCGATCGCATGTCGCTTGGTAAGGTTCGCCGATCACTGATACAGCGCAGTATCTCGTGAGGTGAAGAAAGCTTGCAATGCCTCCGACCTTGGCGGTTATGCTAAACCAGGTCAAGTGCAGAAAACTTTCGGGGTGAGGCAGGGGAGTATAAGTACATCGACTGACTCAGAAAGAGAAGATAGCATTTGCTTTGAAATCTTCTAGAATGTATAAGGAAACCTGTAAGTACTCTCTTTGTTTCTTTTTTATTTAATTTACGCATTTGACGACGAAAAGAAAAAAAACACTCAAGAGCAACATGACGTCATTCTCTCCGCTCCTCCCCCCAAAGGCAAGTGAACGTCTTGTCAAACGCTATCCTACGCGGCTTAACCGCTTAACGAGGCAACATACAGGCCACGTGCTGCAACGCGCACATGCACTTACTTCGAGATTGTGGTGCTTGAGAAACTTTTCGGCGATTTTGTACACCATGGCTGGCAGGTCGGAGCCATCGTGGTACATGTGTACCATGCAGTATTTGCCCTGGAAGAGGTTCTCGTTGTGCCTGATGGACAGACACAGGTCGTAGGCGCCGTACACTGCGATGCGGCCCTGGGTCGCGCCAGCTTGCGGCTTGCCGATAGCGTCCACCACTGTGCCGACAAAAGAGAAACCACGCAAACAATGTAAAAATGCGGAAAACAGACACAATAACAAAGCCGAAAACAGGCTTTGCACGTCTCTCAAGAGGGCAAAAGTTCGGCTGGGTTGAAATGTTCCTGCTTCTTGTTCTGGGAGCATTCATTCACCCGTGCCGCTACACCACTTTCTTGTTTCTTATAAGGATGCTGTAGCCAGACAGATTTAACTTCCTTTTCTATATAATGAACGTTGCACAATACGCACTTAACGAAACAAAAATCGGCATACTTCTTATTGAAGTTGTGAAAGTGTGCGTAATCACGCGTGCCGCTTGGTCACATAAGTTTCCAAAGCCAGCACATGAGTCCTGCTCGTGTAGAAGACGGCGTAACATGCGAGTAACATGTAATAAAATTTATCATGTGCAATTTCTATGCTAAAATATATATCAAACTAGCTTCGTGAAGACGTAGTATGTGTCCTGATAGTTTTGTGCGCTTGAAAACGATCTTAAACTTCGTATGTTATATTCCTCTTTCTTTCTTTATTTTTCTTCCTTACTTTCTTTCTTTCTTTCTTTCTTTCTTTATAATTGGCCATGGTGGAAGTTTATTTTTCCTACAGTGAAAAAGTTGGCTTTTAGTTTTTCACTCTCGATATTGTGTTGCACGCACTCAAAAAAAAAAATTCTACTGCCCATGCTTGCCTCTCTCAACAACATCACTTACGTTTGCCTCAAATAAGAATTCAAATGCATAAATTTAGGGAAATGGCTGCTATCGCCACACAAATTGCATGGTTGATTTAGTTTTTTTTTGCAAATAACATCATGCTATTATCAATATGCTACCGACTCGAGTCAAGTGCAACTGCGAGAGTGTAAACTGTGGTTTGTTGAAGTGTGTGTGTTTAGCTCGCCGAGACGCACGAGCTTGATAGGATGGCATACATTAGCTGACTGAGTAAGTAACAGTGCTTGGTGAGAGGTCGTAGTTTTCTGTTTCAATGGAGATTTCCTGATCGCCCACAACGCGACCGATGAGTGAGATGCAGGGTGGCTGTTTAAGCTGTCGGTAACTTGTGTTCCGAGGGGCAAAACTTCTCAGGTGAGCCCCACTGCCGGGTTCAGCGGGTGCGAGCCTTGAAACTCTGATCGGCGAAGTGGAGCGCGTGAAACACGTAAAAGACAGAAAGAAAGAGATAGAAAGATTGGGGAAAGGAACATGGACACTGAGAGAATAAAAATACGAACAAAACAGGAGAAAAATAGAAAGAAATGGAAGGAATAAGGACATAAACGGGTAGAAAGGGAAGGAAAAATGTAGGAAAAAAAACAGGCACTAAAAAAGACATTGAAAAAATTAAACGGAGAGCAATACGCGAAGAGAAAAAAAGAGAAAAATGCGGAGAAACAAAGAAGGAGATAGAGTAAGATTGAAAAGGAAGTGATAAACAAAGAGAGAGAACGAATGGGAAGTAAGATATAGAAAAATAGAAGGAATGAGAAAGAAATAGAAAGAAACAGTTTCAAGAAAGAGACTAATAGGGCAACAAAGAGAACAAAGAAAAGAGAAAAAATAAGGGGAAACTAGAAAGCCGCACAGGTCCCTTCTTTCTTGACGCTTGGCATCATTAATGCTAAGCTGTCGAAATCCTTTAACTTGGGAGAACCTGCGATAAGGGCGCAAAATTAGTTTGTGCGTGTTGTTAGTTTGCTTTTTTTCTCCATTAGCAACTCGATTTCGTCGAACTGCTTTCGACAGCATTATTCTTGCAGCCTTCATTTATGAATCACATGTGGAAAACACTCTCACTGCAACACGGCACATTTGCGAAGTCGCTGTATTGTGAGACGTCACTTTTCCACGTAGCGACGTTGCCTTTATTGTCCTTGTAACGAATGGAGTGACCCGTTTGTCAAATTTCAAGTTTCCTTTTCAGTTATTAGTACAGAAAAAGGAACAGTATACAAATTATGTATACAGGAGGAGGTTCGAAAGCACAAGGCTGCAGGGGGACCTCCTGTTCAAAATGGGATTACAAAAGTTTACTCAATTAGCAGTAACAGTGAAAACAGAGAGATGATTAAACTGATAAAACCAACATAACTAAGAAACAAGTAAAAAGAAGAGTGGAATAAACAATATAACAGGATAAAACATCTAGTAGTTTATCAGTAACGAATACAATTGTTTTTTCAATAAACCAATCGTCGAACATTGTTTGATGTCAGATGGCAATGAATTCCATAACGCTTAATGCTCAATTTTTGAAGGCATCCAGTTTTTCAAATATCTACGGCCGAAAAAAAAAAGGTGACTGCTACAGAGCAACCGGTTGAAATATACTGAACGACGGAGAACTAAATTCAGCGCGAAGTCGCTGAACGATTCGTTTCATACATCAAAAGATGTTTGGGCGTTTAGGCAGTTCAAATTTTAGAAACGATAGCCCACTTAGGGGACACGAGACAACGTGAACACTATCAGGCGTCCGCGTTCATCTTGTCTCATGTTCGTTTCATTCGCTGTGGCTTTTGAAGTTCTTTTACACTGGTGGCGCTGAAATCACAACCAATTTCTTTTGCACGTGCCCTTTTCCATTGGACAGTCAGTTTTGCTGAGGCTACGCCCGGATCAGAGCTGGCTTAAACTTTCTGTGGAGAGCAGCTCTAGCGTAAAATGGTATTGAGAATTCGGGTCCTGACCTCACTCGACGAAACGATCCCGCACGAGCATTTTGCCTAAAGTTCCTTGTCATCTTTTCAGCGAGTTCTGTATTTACGCCCGGATATTTCTTATAAATGATCTGTTACGTACACTGTTCTGCGCTGGGCGTGGTTGGAGGTGAGTGATTGAGGTCATACCTAACTGGAGTTGGTCGCAAATCCTTGCTTGATATGACAGTGTTATGTGCACAGTTTGCGATATACAAGCATCATTCGTAAGCACCGTGCAGGGATTTTCTTTTTTACTTTCTTTCTTTCTTTCTTTCTTTCTTTATTACTTTTTTTTCTTTTTCCTTTCTTTTTCTTTCTTTCTTTTTTTTTCTTTTCGTTCGTCTGGGACGGTAATATCCGGCAAAACAAACAGTAATGAAAAAACCCGGATGCACATGGCAAGATCGATACTTCTGGTCTTGGAGGTACATGCATAGTTATTTTTTTCCTTCTTTTGATGCGACGGTATAGTACACTGTGCGCACCCTTAATGTTTTCTTTTTTTACTGACGAATGTATTTTTACCAATACGGACGTAATGAGTCCAAAACTATTGGCGCTGGTGGCGAGGCAATTGTCGGTCGAAACGCTTGACGTGGGTCGTATGGGAAAGCGCGGGCAGGGCGTACATATCATTGGGCTGCCGACGGCGAACGATTTCTACATGTCTATATGCAAATCGCATTACAAGATGGCAAAGTCTATGCTTGAAAGCAGTATCGGCGTATTCAATCGACGTGTAAATATAGCCGATGATGTACTCGATTTCGCGTAAGTATTACCATCCTCATGTTGTCTTGCAGGGCGTTCGTCGACGGGTTCGAATCCCGGCGCCTGGCTACTGCATTCTACTGTATGTTCCTATATTAAACCCCTAATTACGGTGGGATGCCAAAAGCACAGAAACGCTCTTGTACCTTGCTTGAAGCGGCCTTCGGTAAGGTGTCCAGTCATAATCAATCTGGATACCACCCATTAAAACTTCCCTCACAAAAATGCTATTTATTTCTGAAAATTTAGGCACACTGCGGCCATACCTATTGTAATCACGAGTTCATGTCAAAAGCCAACGCAGAGAGGATCCTTTAACCGTAACTAGATACTCCACATAAGTGCTTGGATAAGGTTGTCGTACCGAGACATACTGCAGCTAACATATTCATTTTGAAAAAAAAAATGGTGCAGATGTGAATAAGCAAAAGAAGCAACAATTAATCCTGCAGTTTATTTTCGTGTTAATTGTTTTTGAGCAACCGAATATTGTAGTTTGCGCAGGTTCAATGTCGGTATACTTGCCTGTTTGTGCATGTGTACATTTCTTTCTTCTCTTTTACATCTCTCAGTCCTCTTTCCAACACCTATTTCCCGAACATGTGCAGGGTAGCACACTGGTTCCCTGCCTCTCAATTTCATCTATTGCTCCCTCCATTCCTCTCTTCTCTTTTTCTCTATGTCTCTCTTCTATCAGTTTCCACATTTGCGTTCGGCGTCAAATTTGATAAGTATAACGACTGTCTCAGGCTTCCACTTCACAGTGAGTTTGATTACGCGAGTGTATATAAGTATTTAACCTCTAAACGCCTGAATGGCACATTTATTTAACACTTTCGAGGTCTAAGATGAGAAAACGTTCTTGGGGAAGTACAGATTTGCTAGAAGTTCGACAGACGTTATAGGTTTACTACTTTGGTGCAGCTGAGGATGTTTGCATGCCAAGCGCGTTCTTCCTGATCCTTAAAATTTTTGGCGCCCCGCTACGGCACAAAAAAGGCGCGATTTGAAGAACTTTTCGCATGCGCTCATGTTAGCACGCGATTGATTGATTGATTGATTTGTGGGGTTTAACGTTCCAAAACCAACATATGATTATGAGAGACGCCGTAGTGGAGGGCTCCGGAAATATCGACCACCTGGTGTTCTTTAACGTGCACCCAAATCTCAGCACACGGGCCTACAACATTTCCGCCTTCATCGGAAATGCAGCCGCCACCGGGATTCGATCCCGCGACTTGCGGTTCAGCAGCCGAGTACCTTAGCCACTAGACCACCACGGCGGGGCAAGTTAGCACGCGAAAACTCGCGTCTGTGAAGGTGGCCTTAAATCTACAACAGTATACTCGATCTTACAGTTGCGACATATTCTAGACCCATGACAAAAGAGCACCAGTGCTCGACGCGCTGCGAAAGCGCTGTTGACTTTCTTGCATACGACGAGCCTGAATGAAACTTTGTCAATTGTGAAGTCTACGCGTGAATTGCTGTAGATATGTATTATGTTCGTATCAGTGTATA